CGGAATAGCAGAACCAGCAGAAGGTTCTGTGGTGACTGATACTCAAAAGACAGAGCTTGAAGGGCTGAAGTTGAAAGATCTCAAAGTAAAGAATTATCTCTTTCAAGCCATTGATCATTCAATCTTGGAGACCATTCTTTGCAAGATACCTCCAAGCATATTTGGGATTCCATGAAAAAGAAGTATCAAGGATCAACAAGGACAAAGAAGCAGCAACTTCAGGCACTTCGTTCGGAGTTCGAATTGCTTCGAATGAAATCAGGAGAGTCAGTTACAGAATATTTCTCGCGGATGATGGCAGTTGTCAACAAGATGCGTACCCACGACGACAAAACGAAAGATGTCACTGTTGTTGAGAAGATTCTTCGATCCTTGACACCAAAATTTAATTTTGTTGTTTGTTCTATAGAAGAATCTCATGATATTGATGTACTTTCAATAGATGAATTACAGAGTTCTTTGTTAGTTCATGAACGTACAATTACCCAGCACGAGAAAGAGGAGCATGCATTGAAGGTCTTAATAGAAAATTACTTGACATCCAGCAGAGGAGACCAAGGAAGAGGCAGAGGCGATAGAGGTAGAGGTAGAGGTAGAGGCAGAGATTACAACAATCGTGGAAGAGGAAGAGGGAAAGGAAGAGGCAACTTCCACTCAAATACTTTCAGACCTGAGTCAGCAGACAAGTCTGATGTTGAGTGCTACAGATGTCATAAGTATGGTCATTATAAATCAGAATGCCGAACTAATTTGCCCAAAGGTCATGGTGAGAGATCTAATTATTATGCAGTAAAGGAAGATGTAGTGAAGGAAGAAGATGAAGTATGCTTATTAATGGTTAGTCATGCAAAGGAAAAAACCAACAATAAGTATTTGTGGTATTTAGACACAGGATGTAGCAATCACATGAGTGGAGACAAGTCAATTTTCTCCACTCGAGACGAATCATTCCGAGATAATGTGAAGTTTGGAGACAACTCTAAAGTATTGGTTATGGGAAAAGGACAGGTAATTATTCAAACCAACGAAAATGCTACTAAAAAATTTTTCCAATGTCCTTTTTTTTCCAGATTCGAAAACCAATCTCCTCAGCATCGGTCAATTGCAAGAAAAGGGTTATGAGATTTCTATCAAAGATGGAGTATGCAAAGTTCGAGATGATAATTTGGGTTTAATTGCTCAAGCCACAATGACTGCAAACAAAATGTTTCCCATTTATCTCAATAATACTCATCAATCATGCTTCACAGCAAAATTACAAGATGTGGCTTGGCTTTGGCATTTTCGATTTGGTCATCTAAATTTTGGTGGGTTGAAAACACTTCAACAAAAGCATATGGTGACAGGCCTTCCTCAAATTACAACTTCCTCAGAAGTTTGTGTAGAATGTGTTGTTAGGAAACAACACCGGAATCCATTCCCACAAGGCAAATCATGTAGAGCAAAGAAGGCATTGGAAATAATTCATTCTGATCTTTGTGGGCAAATAACACCATGTTCTAATGGAGGTAAAAGATACATAATCACCTTCATTGACGACTTTAGTCAGAATACATGGGTGTATTTTTTGTAGGAAAAATCTGAAGCTTTTGCAGCTTTTAAACATTTTAAAGTCCATGTTGAAAAGAAGGTGGGCAGGCAAATACAAATACTTCGTACTGATCGCGGTGGAGAGTACAATTCACAAGAATTTGCAAAATTTTATGAGACTCGTGGAATTAAAAGGCAACTTACAGCAACTTACACTCAGCAAAATGTCGTTTGTGAAAGGAAGAATCGCACAATTTTAAATATGGTGCGAAGCATCTTGCTAAGGAGTGGTGTTCCAAAAAGTTTCTAGCCTGAAGCTGTTAATTGGAGTGTTCATATATTGAAAAGAAGTCCTACACTTGCCGTTAAAAATATGACACCTGAGGAAGCTTGGAATGGACGAAGACCAGCTGTGGATCACTTCAAAATTTTTGGGTGTATAGCTTATGCTCACATACACAATGAGAACAGGAAGAAGTTGGATGACAAAGGAGAAAAATGTGTCTTTCTTGGTATTAGCGATCATTCTGAAGCTTACAAGTTATATAATCCTATCACTAAAAGGATTGTCATCAGTCAAGATGTAGTCTTTAATGAAGAAAGAATGTGGCCATGGAACGAAGATGGAATAACAACACAACTCCCGGCAAACTTTGGTGGAGAAGATGAAGAAGGGCAGCATATTATGGAGCAAGAACCATAACCCACAGTTATCCAAGAAGAGTCCATAGCAGCACAAAGATCAGAATGGATCCGAAGAAAACCCACATGGATGGCTGACTATGAGTTAACAAGGATTGAACAATCCGAGAACTCACTTGCACACCTTGCTCTATTTTCAAATTGTGATCCTATAATTTTTGAAGAAGCTGTCAAACAATCAAAATGGAGAAAGGCAATGGATGATGAAATTGCAGCCATTAAAAAAAATGATACTTGGACATTGACTGAACTTTCTCAAGGACAGAAGAATATTGGTGTAAAATGGGTCTACAAGACAAAACTGAAGGAAAATGGTGAAGTTGATAAATACAAGGCGCGCTTGGTTGCCATAGGCTACAAACAAGAATTCGGCATCGACTACAAAGAAGTTTTTGCTCCAGTTGCAAGGCATGACACAATCAAATTGGTGATTGCATTGGCAGCACAAAATTGTTGGCCTATTTTTCAACTAGACGTTAAATCAGCATTCTTACATGGAGACTTTGAAGAGCAGGTATTTGTTAATCAACCTCCTCGATATGTTAAGATTGGAGAAGAATATAAAGTGCTTAAGCTGAAAAAGGCTTTATATGGGCTAAAACAAGCCCCACGAGCTTGGTACAGTAGTATCAAAGCTTATTTTTTGAAGGAAGGATTTTAAAAATGTCCTTATGAACATTAACTTTTCATGAAATTGGAGGATAATGGCAAGATGCTCATGGTTTGCTTATATGTAGATGACTTAATCTATATTGGAAATGATCAGGTCATGATTAAGAAATTTAAGAAGTCAATGATGATTGAATTTGATATGTTTGATCTTGGCATGATGCATTACTTTCTTGGTATAGAGGTGGTTCAATCTACTGCTGGCATTTTTATCTCTCAGAAAAAGTATGTGCTGGAAATTCTTAACAAGTTTGGAATAAAAGAATGTAATCCTGTTAGCACACCAATAGAAGTAAATGTGAAGCTCATCAAAGATCCCAAAGGAAAAGATATTGACAATACTCTTTACATGCAAATCGTAGGAAGCTTGATGTATTTAACTACAACAAGGCCTGATTTAATGCACGCTGTTAGTCTCATCAGCATATTTATGGAGTGTCCAAAGGAGATGCATCTCTTGGCTTCAAAAAGAATTTTCAAATACTTACAAGGCAATGCTGATTATGGTTTGCTGTACAAGAGAGGTGAAAAATCAGATTTATTTGGTTTTACAGATAGTGACTATGCTGGTGATCCAGAGGATAGAAAAAGTACATCTGGTTTTGTCTTTATGATAGGTACAGGAGCAGTCTCATGGTCTTCAAGGAAGCAAGCCACTGTGACGTTGTCAACTACAGAAACAGAGTTTGTAGCAGCAACGGCATGTGCATGTCAAGCAATTTGGCTATGGAGGATTCTTGAGTTTCTCTGTTTCAAGCAAGAAGGACCCACCCACATCTACTGTGATAACAATTCAGCTATTAAGTTGTCCAAGAATCTTGTTCTATATAGAAGAAGCAAACATATTGATGTAAGGCATCATTTCTTGCGAGACCTTACAAAAGATGAAACCATTGATCTTATTTACTGCAAAGGAGACGATCAAGTTGCTGATATGTTTACAAAAGCCATTAAATTGGATGCATTTCAAAAGCTGAGGAAGTTGCTTGGAGTTTGCACGCTGAAGAAATAAATGATGTTATAAACATGAGTTTAAGGGAGGGATTGTTGAATAAGTAATTTACATGTTGACCTAATCTTTAGCATCATTAGCTAGTTTGTTTTGCTAATTACCGAGTCTATAGGATTTGTTAGTCAGTTCCCCTTTTCTTGCTTATATCTGTCATGTTAATGCCTATATAAAGGCCATTGGATTAATGAATAAATACTCTAAGAAGAAATTACGTTCTCTGCTCTTCTCTGCTCTCTTTAGTTTTACTGTATGAAGACTTCGTCTTCTTTAAAATTCAACACACACATAAAGAACGAAAATTTCCTAAAAATCCCAATAAAATCAGAATAGTGTTAACGTTTTCTTCTCCTACAGCTCAAGTCTTTGATGGTGCCAATGCTTTCGTCACCCATGGTTTAAGTCTCTAATGGTGGTGGCGCTATTACTTGGAGGTGATTTTTGATGAAATTGGCTTCTTCTTCAACGGGAGGGTTGGTGTTTTGTCATTTTAGCAAAATGACTTCTTTTCATCAAAGTTTGGGTGTTTTGTAGCGTGATAATTATTGTTAATTAAAAGGTTTAGTGAAAAAATTAATTTACTCAGCCCCCGTTTGTTTTTCATTATTTGTCTATTAAAATTAAAAATATGACCGTTATCCATCACGTCAAACCATCATATTTGACTTTCTATCTTTTATGTGGGGCCCGTAACGGTTATATTTTTCATTCTTATTCTTACATTAATGTGTACCAAAACGGGGTATCAATTTTTCTATTTTGTACCGTATTGGGCCTAATTTGCCCTTTAGGATTTTGGGAGTCCAAACAAGAATGGACCCTCCGACATTTGATTGAGTTCTTATTGAATTAACGCCTAGCCCAATCTTTAACGGCAGCTCCTATCGATCTAGGGTTCCATCTAACCTAAGCCAACATCGAAGTATACGCACTACTATGATAAAATGGGCCGAAAGGCGTCCAGGATCGCGAGCCATGTGCTCCCACCGCAACCGGCAAATATTTGGGCCATATGCGCACGATAATCCCGTTCTACCGTTCAGCGCACGGTAGCTCTTCCACGCTGCCAAGATTAATTCTCCTCCTTGGATGCGCACAGCGCACCGCTCCTGATTCCTGGCCTTCCCCGCCCAATAATTATTTATTTTTCTGCTTAAATTTACTCAGATTTTCTATATTTTTCTCAAATTCAGGAGCTGTAATCAATTTTCCCCTCATATTTGGTAAGTGGATTAATTATTATCTTCTTTTATACGATTCAATATTTTGTTTTCATGGATAATGGATTAACGAAGTGGGCTTATTGTTTAGATTACCTCGTTCATTTCTATCTGATAAAGAATTAGATCCTAAATATTGAGCATTTGATTTAAGTCATGGCAATTGATTTTCAGACTTTCGAATCAAGCGGTATGATGCGGATATTTCCAAGGGATGTTCGATTCGGAGAAGCGTTAAGATCATATAGGATTTTGATTATCTTGAAACTGTAGCTGATGGTGTAAATTGTAACAGTAAGTTTGTTGCTTGGATTAGACGAATCGAAGTTGCTTAAATTTAAGATTATTTGAAATGTTAACTTGTCAGTATGTTTAAACGTTGCAAATTTGGATGGAGTGGCATTTTGAACATGGGGAGAAAATTATTCTCTGTAGGCGAAGAAAATGAAGATAGGGCATAGATGATATTAGCCAGCAAACAGATGACATTATTCCAGCAGAGAGATTGCACCAGTCCAGCACATTATTCCAGCAGAAAATTACACCAGTCAAGCCCCCACATAATTCCAGTAGAAGATTGCACCAGTCAAGCTCACAGCTCACTGCCATTTATCTTTCCTTGTGTAGTAGTATCTCTGTTCTATATATATGCTTCTAATCCCCATTTACAGAATCATCAAGGAAACATAGTAAAATACAGAATATTTTCCTTCACCTCTTCTTTTATCAGATGACGACGTGTTGCTGAGCCTCCGTTTGGATAAATAGTCGTTTTGGCTTGTTGAGGTATCATGATCGTAGAGATTACTTAGTTGAGTAGTGATCTGGATTTAGATATTTTGAAGTATAAACAAACTTTTGTTGGTGGATTACTCTTTGTTGACTGTTGAATATGGAAGTTTTCTAGAATTTCACTCTTTACTGAGTGATTATTCTTGGACTTAAAAAGATAGCCCACAAACTCATGGGATTGATTGGAAGGGGACATGTTGAGTCTGTCATTAATCTTAGATGCGTTAGAAGTCTTTTTGTTTTTTTAGCTCCTTGTATAAGTCATTATGATTATCTTGTGGCTATAGGATTCTTGTGTATGTACCATCAAGCATCCTCATTTTCACCATTTCGTATTATATCATTTACTAACCCCTCACCCCAACAAGACACACTCCCCAAGAGAGAAGAAACCATAGTTCTAATGGCAAGTTTGATTCATGATATTGGTGTGATACTCATTTGTAAATGATTTGTGTCATAATTTGCATTTTTTATTATTTTAATCTTTTTTCTTCTTTTCTTAAGAATTGGCAATTCCTCTTCCAACTAGTTCCAGATGGGCATTATGGTGCAAAAAAAGGAGGAGAAATTTGGAGTGAATTAGACACTATAATGCATAATACTTTAGTTTCTTTTCTTTCTTGATACTTAATACTATCAAATCCGTTTCAGTCCCGTGATCAAACATGCCATAAGAGTTTAGTTGTCTGGCATCATGCATCTTATATCTTCTTACTGCAGCCTTAAGAATTCTAGTTGTGAAATATTTTATTAATGTCCTTTATAATTTCCAATTATTCTCAGTTGCTGAATCTGCATTCTGGTTTATCTTGGTTGGAGTAATGCCTGAGATAGCAAGTCTTATGAAAGAAATGTCTGGAAATGGAACGGAGTCATCTCCAGATGATGATGGCACTGTAGAGGAAATGCCAGAGGACTCAATTTTGTCGCGACAAACATCTGTGAACCTTGTGCCATTCATTGGTCAAAGATTTGTCTCTCAGGATGCGGCATATGAATTCTATTGTAGCTTTGCCAAGCAATGTGGGTTCTCTATTAGACGCCATCGAACTCGTGGAAAAGACGGTGTTGGCAAGGGTATTACAAGACGGGATTTTACATGCCATCGTGGTGGATTTCCACAACTAAAGCCATCAGAGGATGGAAAGCTACAGAGGAATCGAATATCATCACGTTGTGGATGTCAAGCATACATGAGAATTGTTAAAAGGGAAAATTTCGACGTCCCAGAGTGGCATGTCACAGGTTTTAACAATGTGCATAACCATGACCTTTTGAAGTTCAATGAGGCTCAACTACTCCCTGCCTACTGCACATTGACTGTTGATGACAAGAGTCGTATATGCATGTATGCAAAAGCTGGGATGTCAGTTCGGCAAATGCTTAGGTTAATGGAACTAGAGAAAGGTGTTAAGCTAGGTTGTTTACCATTCACAGAGATTGACGTTAGAAACTTGCTTCAATCGTTCAGAAATGTGGAGCGGGATGATGACCCGATCGACCTTCTAAAATTGTGCAAGGAGAAGAAAGACAAAGATCCCTACTTCAAATACAATTTTAAGATAGATGCCAATAACAGGTTAGAGCACATTGCATGGTCATATGCTTCATCAATCAGATCATATGAAGCCTTTGGGGATACTGTAGTTTTTGATACTACTCATCGCTTGGATGCGTATGATATGGTACTTGGGATTTGGATTGGAGTGGAAAATCATGGAGCAAATTGTTTCTTTGGCTGCGTACTTCTAAGAGATGAAAATATGCAGTCATTCTCCTGGGCTCTAAATGTAAGTATCCACATAAGCGCCTTTGCCACATGTTTCTATCGTGACCTAAGTTTAGATTTTCTTGTTTTATTCTTAAACCATATAGATATTGCTTTAGTTAATTTACCAACATTTGTCTTCATTTTCGTGTATGCTTTGATGCAAGAGGCAGAAAGAATTCAGCATGCTTGTTTGTTAGGATCCTAATGATGTTTTTGAGCACGAGCTCATTATTTCTATACTTTAGAGCATATTTAGTCAAGATTTAAAAAAAAAAAAAAAATCTCTTATAGGTTATTAAGTTTTGAACTTTTTTTATTGGTCCAAATTGAATATAAGTATTTTGCTTTTTTCAAAGTAAGATGGCTTTTTACTTAAAAAGAGTAGAAAAAAAGTAATATATATCGAATGGAAACAAACAATTACTTCACTTTTAAGCATAGCTGAAAATACTTATATATGTTCATTGAGATAAAATTCTGTTTATGGTAATAGGAACTTCACTTGAGCCTGCGATGCCATTTAGCATTTGCAGAAATAGATTAATGTTATTTTGCACCACTAGTTTTAAAACACCAATCTAAGGCACCACTTTGACACTAAATGAGAGGTACAATTATACCTTTCATTCAGCTTATCGCATAACGACACCTAGCCTCGTGTTTTAGCACCAGTAATGCTAGATAGCATTATTCACTGAAAAATGTTCAATCCCTTGTACATTCATTATCAGGAACTGAATGCCAGAATTGTGATTGCATGACGAAAAGTGTGCAAACTTTTTGTTTATTCCCAGAAAGAAAAAAGAAAAAAAAAACTTGAATTCGTGAATTCCACCAATATGTTGCTCCATCTTATTTTTTATCCCTGCTGGAGGGCTTTATTTAATTTTTCAACCATTGACATTTGACAGTGTGTTATCTTCCAGTATAATGGGATCATAGTATTTTCATCATATCTGTATAGAGTTGTTTTGAGATTTCCAGAGGATGTCCTTTTTGTCATATTTTTTGTTGTATTTGACAGACATTCTTGGAATTCATGAATGGAAAAGCTCCGGGAACAATTTTAACTGATCAAAACATGTGGCTTAAAGAAGCACTTGCTACTGAAATGCCAAGGACCAAACATGCCTTTGCCTTTTGGCATGTCATTTCAAAGTTTCCCGATTGGTTTTCTGTAATACTTGGCTCGCAATACGATAACTGGAAATCTGAGTTTCATCGGCTTTATAATTTGCACTCAATCGAGGAATTTGAAGTGGGATGGAGGGATATGGTTGATGCATATGGACTGCATGGAAATAACCATGTGGTCAGCCTGTATGCATTGCGCACGTATTGGGCACTACCTTTCCTGAGATGTTATTTCTTTGCAGGAATGACCAGTACATTCCAGTCAGAATCGATAAACTCATGTATCCAACGATTTTTGAGTGCACAATCTGTACTTGAGAATTTTGTCGAGCAGGTGCAGCCTCTTTCTTTCTATTTATTCTTAACGTGTTATTACTGTTGTCAAAATTATATAGGAAAATTGTATTGTTGGTCTCTAACCTATTGTCCGAGTTTCTAGTTGGTCTTTGGTCTTAAAGAGAGAGTTTGTCCTCAACCTTCTATTATAGTTGCATTATCTCTCCTCAATGACTAAAACCATCAACATCTCTGTTAAATTGTGCTGTGATCCTCACATTTTCAACTTTATAAAACTAGATTTAGTTTCCTAACTTGTGCCAGTATTTTGAAATTTGAACTGAGGCATGTCACCTTGAAGGCCATGTGACTATTTAAAAGATTTGGATGTCTTTGTTGGGAATAATTGTGCAATTGTAATTAAAAGATGACCAATGCTGCAATCTTTTCTTGTATATACTCCTCTTTTGCAGGTGGCTACAGTTTTATGTGCTAAAGATAAAGCAGGAGCAAAACAAAAGATGCAACGGAAGATCCCTGAAGTATCCCTCAAAACAGGTTCCCCAATTGAGGCGAATGCTGCTGCTGTTCTTACACCTTATGCCTTCTGCAAACTACAGGAGGAACTCTTATTGGCACCCCAATACGCATCATTAATGTTAGATGAAAATTACTTTATTGTGAGACACCATACAGAAAAGGATGGGGGGTGTAAAGTATTATGGATTCCAAATGATGAGTTGATCAGCTGTAACTGTAATCACTTTGAGTTTTCAGGCATCCTCTGCAGACATGTTCTTCGTGTTCTCTCTAGCAACAATTGTTTTCAGATTCCCGACCAATACCTGCCCATGCGCTGGCGTGATGTCCCCTCATCATTGACGAAACCTGTGCATGCTACTTCTGGAAAATATCAGTTGTTGCAATCAATGATTTCAACACTACTTACAGAATCAATTGAGACAGAAGATCGCCTTGATTTTGCTTGTTCTCACGTCGCTTTGGTTTTGGCCCAAATCAAAGAATTTCCCATTTCATCAGACGGTGTTAATGATATTGCTTATAACAGCCCATCCGATTCTCTTGTGCTTCCAGAAGTTGAAGATTCTGATGGCATTGCTCAAAGTTTCAGTGGAAATCCTCATCAATCTTTAGCTTTTGCAAAGTTGAAAGAGAGAGCATGGAGAGATGGACTTGGGGATATATACAGGAAAAGAAGGCGTTCAGTTCCCTGTCGTGGTCAATATGGGCAGGATGCTAGTGACTGCCCAGAGCTGGGAGGTGATGATTTCAATGGAGATGGGTCGGGGTTTTTATAGGTTTGATTATATATTTGGTATGCTGGATAGACGCCACCATAGTGGGTGAAGTTAAAATTTTAGGCAGTACAATATTCTCTTGTGAAAATGACTGGATTTACATATGTTTTCGTATAGTATAAGTCCAAGAGCAATATTCTCAATCTCCGGTTGGAAGAGTTTAAAATTGCTTGCTTAATCTCCACGTTAAGAATGTAAATCTTGATAATATTTTTACAGGCGTGTCTTATTCAAAGATAATCTTGCCTCAGATCTGGAGGCCAGCATAAAATATCAGGGCACAAAAATTTATGGGAAAATTGCAGTCATGTATCAAACATTTCACCTTTTTGCAAATTTATACAAATCTTTAATTTATTGCAGTCATGGTATCGAACCTCTCAAAAATTCGTGATAGAAAACGTTACTTTCTCTGTTATTTGACCACAAATCAAAAGGTTTTACCAATGTTGATTAATTTTTAAAGGGTAAAAGGTAACTTTACATTTTATTTTTTTTTGTGTAAAAAACTAAAATAAAAGAATTAAATCAAAAAAATAAATTAATAATAATAAAATCCTATCATCCACCCCAAAACCAAAACCTCCAAAATGTCAGCACCCCCACGCCACCCAACTTCAAAGCCACATCACCCATCACTATCACCACGTAATTATCTGACACAACGACATCACCTCACTCATCTTCACCGAAAATTGCGGAAAGAGGCATTGAAAACTCAAAGTCCTATTTCTGCAGGAAGGCAAGGAACTCTTTAACTTTTGAAATTATTTCGTACAACAGAGTTGCTTGGAGAGGGTACTAGCTGTGCAACACAAATGACTAAGAATCGAAGCCGCAAGTCTCAGCTTTTGCCGTGAAATCAGCTTCCACAACAATCCCCAATTTTTCATGTTAATTGGTTGCAACTCTTCAATCTCAACCTCGTCCAAATCATTGATTTTTGGCTATTTTTTGACAATCTAGCATCGACAGCTGGGCTGAAAACATAAGCGCCGATGACAATTTTGTTGGGAATCTATTTATATATGCACAGCAGAAAATTAAAATTATTTCGATTCCCACCGAGGATCCCTTTGTGTTTAGATAGAAATCGTGATAAAGATTATACTTTTGACGAATTCTGCAAACCTTTTGCTTTTCTTTTCGTTCCAGCAATCTTGATTTGCCACCCACAGTTGTCCAATTGTCCAGCCTCCAAAGATGATCCACACAAAGAATAAGATTGCAGCTTCTAGAATTTTTCCTCCTGTGCCAGTAAGAATAATGAAAATCATATGGACCTTAAACCCTAGCCATGTATTTATATAAACCCAAATAGGCTCGACCCGGTCCGATCCAGTCCAATATTTAATTAATCCATTTAATTAAACCCGATCCGTGAATTAATTAATCCAATTAATTAATTCGGGATATAAATAACAAATCCAATTAATTAATTTATCCTACAATTGTTAAATTAATTAATTGGCAATTTGAAATCTTCTAATTCCCTTTTGTGTGCGACCCATTAGGTTCCCGACCACGATACCTAGTGATGTGAAATATTATTTTGATCTAATCAAAACTGATAAATTAAAATACCCTTTTAATTTATCGTCAATTCACACTCGCCGTCCCTGATTGACATCTAGCAATGTGTCAGGGCAATGCATGTGACGAGAAATGTCACGTGTTATGACAAAATCAAATTCGTTCGTTTACCGTGAAACTATAATCCCTTCGTCAATATGATCCGATACGAGATATGGAATTGTGTCAATCCCGAATTTCGATCATATCTTTCACTCCACTATTAAGTCAATATAAGTCGAAAACTCTTTTTCGACTTATGAGTACACCTTGGCCAATGATTTCGTTATCGACTTAATTGAATGAAACGCAGATCATAATCTCCTACTATCTAAAAGTGACGAATCCTTTATTGGTCAATCACAACCTTCATACGATTCTTGATGTACCCGAACGATGTCGTATTAGTGGCCCTTTTCAGAGCAACATCCAACACCGTCAAAGTATGACGTCCTCATATAAGGTACCATGATGACCTCAAGTCAAACGACCAATTTCACTACCGAACGTTAGAGATTAACCACTGACACTCAGATAGTTATCCATGTGGAATCTCTCGGTGGGTCTCCAATATTTTGTTCTATAACAAAACATCCACGTGTTCATTTAAGTGTCACCATACTTTAGCTTGTGAGATCAGCTACTTACTTCACAAGTAAGAAATGTTACACGTGATGGTCTATCCGTAATAACGATATCCGTATCTCGTTATTACTTACGACCACGGACGATTTAAGACTCAATTATATGTAATTTGTATCTCACAATCACAACTCTTGTGATTAACAAATTACGAAAATTTGAATATACGGAATCTATTATTTATTTAATTGTCTATTAATTAAATAATAGATCTGTCATTAAATTGCATTAATTATATATCAAAAGTATTTATGTTCAAAGTTGATTGGATCTAGGGCATAATACTTACAAATTCTTTGTTTTCTCTAAATTTGTCCAACTTTTGGCAAAGAAAACAAAGTGGACAATATAGAAAATGCCTGATTTTTGCGATTGTGGGTTAATTTAGCCTCATATGTGGTGTTCTGTGGCTGTGAAAGTGTTTTGGGGGTTTAAGGTTGGAAGGAAGAGTAATAGGCATATGAGTTGCATGGTGAAAATACATATATAGAGAATTGCATGGTGGTGGTGGTGACGCGTGAGGTGGCGTCGAAGTTGGGTGGGTGTGATGATGCCAAACATTCAAGTATTGGTTTTGGGTTGGGGTGGGGTGGGTTGGGTTGGGGTGGGTGGAGAAGAGAATGCCAAAAATACTAATTACTTTTGTAATGGCAATTGGAATGATATTAACTCCTATTTATTCATTATCTATGTCACGCCAGATGTTCTATGGATACAAGATATTTAATGCTCCAAACTCTTATTTTTTTGATTCTGGACCGCGAGAGTTATTTCTTTCAATCTCTATCTTTTTACCCATACTAGGTATTGGTATGTACCCCGATTTTGTTCTTTCACTATCAGTTGACAAGGTCGAAGTTATTCTATCTAATTCTTTTTATAGATAGTTTTGATGAATAAAAAAAAAAAAAAAAAAAACCTTTGATTTTTTATCAACTAACAGAGAAAGCAATGGTTTCCATCAATTTTGATTTTAGATGCGAGTTTTTGAAGATTTGGTACCGCGAGTGCAACAAAATAAAGATTTGAGTCAAATCTGCATAAAATTGAAAGATTTGGTACTATAGCTGCAATTTTCCCAAAATTTATTTGCATCTCTTGTTAAAGGCAAACTTGCTGTAAGGCACATTGTTTCATATTCAAGAAACCTAAGTAAGATTAGATGCTCAGAACCTGCATGATTTAGCAAGTTGGGCATTTGATACTTTTGTTTGTCCCTTCCATTTCTTCTGACACTAAACACGGCTTAGAGTTTTTATCAATGTCTACAGAGCAAGGTGACAACAAATTGTTGAGCAAACCCACCTACAATTCAAACAAAACAATTAATTAGTTTAGGATTTGCAAAGGATTAAAATCAAGAACCAAAAACTGAAAAGTTGAAGAACGATTTTCCCCTTCTAAATTAGGCTTAGAAATTTGATCCACATCACAAAGGTATCTCCAATTTGAAGGCCATAATTAGTCACCAAGATAGATTCACAAAAAAAAGGCAAAGGTGGTTTTAATTTTGCACAAAGCAGAGAGTTTTTCTCGTTCTTGGGTGATGTACAAATGAAGAGAAGAGTCTTTCATTTATAGGCTTCACAAAAAAACAGGTTTTCCACAAAATCTTGCAAGATTAGGTTATATCAAAATTGCAAGATTATATCAAAACTGAAAGATAGAGTTCAACCAAAAAAGGGGATAAAATGGTTGAAAAAAGATAACAATAATATTTATCTATCTTTCATGTGATTTTCAAATTACCTCCAAGTTGGGTATTGAGCATCTAGCCCAATAGGCTTATTACTTCTAAATACCAAACATAATTGGGCTACTTCAATTGTGATGTGGATTTAATTCTTCAATCCTGGGCTTATAGCCTATGAAGTTATACGGGCCTCGATTTTTCTTCATAGCCTAGGGGATTTGGAATCACTTACCAAACATGCCCAACAACCTCCACCTTGATGCCACATCATCCTGCAAGTCAGATAAAATAACAAATAGTTTAAGTGAAGAGACTTACAAGTTTGTACCGATGTTTAGAAGTTCAAGGCAGCTTCTAAACTTTACCAATGGGAGCACCTTAGTTCTCATATTTGTAGGATTATATTCTGAAAGGACTTTCTCAAGTTTTACCAATTCTTGAGAAACCATATCTCTAATGAAATGCAATCTAACATCTATATGTTTAGTACGTTCATGAAAGACAGAATTTTTGCATAGGTGAATAGCAGATTGACCATTAAAATATATTGTTACGTTGTCTTTAAAAGCACCAAGTTCATTTAATACACCTTTAAACCACAAAGATTCTTTAAAGGCTTCAGTAGCAGCAATATATTCTGATTCAGTAGTGGATAATGCAACAATATGTTGAAATTGTGATTTCCAATTAACACGTGAATTACACAAAGTAAACATGTAGGAAGATGTAGATTTCATATTATCTCTATCACCAGCATAGTTAGTATTAGTAAAACCTTTCAATTTAATTCCTTCAGTACTAAACTTATATATTAAGCCAACATTGCATGTTCCTTTCAAATATCTAAACAACAATTTCAAAGCCTCCCAATGTTTGGGACCCAGGTTGGACATATACCTGCTAAATGTACTAATAGCAAAGGCTAAGTTGGGTCTAGTACACGCCATTAGAAACATCACAGAACCAATGTCATTTGTATATGGAATTCGTTTCATATATTCTTCTTCTTCTTCATTAGCAGGTGATTGTTCTTTAGATAATGCAAAGTGATTAGCTAAAGGTAATGTAACATGTTTACATTCATTCATACCAAGTTTTTTCAAAATTTTCATGATATATGGAGCCTAATGTAAAAATAAAATTGATTTAGACCTATCTCTACGAAGTTCCATGCCTAAAATTCTTTTAGCATTACCTAGATCTTTCATATCAAATTCATTACTTAAAGTAATTTTTACATCATTTAACAACTTCAAGTTGGGACCAATCAAAAGTATATCGTCCACGTATAGCAACAAAAACACACAGT